ATAAAAGCTATCTATGCCAAACCAACAACCAACATAATACTGAATAAGGAAAAGTTGAAAGCATTCCCTCTGAGAACTGGAACAAGACAAGGATGCTCATTCTTACCACTCCTTTTCAACATAGTACTGGAAGTCCTAGTTAGAGAAATCAGACAAAATAAAGAAATAAAGGGCATCCAAATCAGTAAAGAGGATGTCAAACTGTTACTATTTGCTGGCTATTTGATCGTTTGCCTTGAAAACCCTAAGGACTCCTCCAGAAAGTACCTAGAACTGATAAAAGAATTCAGCAAAGTTTCCAGATACAAGATTAATGTACACAAATCAGTAACTCTTCTATACGCCAACAGCGACCAAGCATAGAATCAAATCAAGAACTCAACCCCTTTTACAATAGCTGCAAAATAAATAAATAAATAAATAAATAAATAGAAATTTAAAAAAAACCTTAGGAATGTACCTAACCAAGGAGGTGAAAGACCTCGGCAAGGAAACTACAAAACACTGCTGAAAGAAATCATAGATGACACAAGCAAATAGAAACACATCCCATGCTCATAGATAGCTAGAATCAATATTGTGAAAATGACCACACTGCCAAAATCAATCTACAAATTCAATGCAATTCCTATCAAAATACCACCACCATTCTTCACAGAATTAGAAAAAACAATTCCAAAATACATATTGAACCAAAAAACAGCCCACATAGCCAAAGCAAGACTAAGCAAAAAGAACAAATCTGGAGGCATTACACTCCTGATTTCAAACTATACTATAAGGCCATAGTCACCAAAACATCATGGTACTGGTATAAAAATGGGCACTTACACCAATGGAATGGAATAGAGAACCCAGGAATAAACCCACATACTTAAGCCAACTGATCTTTGGCAAAGCAAACAAAAACATAAAGTGGGGAAAGGACATCCTTTTCAACAAATGATGCTGGGATAATTGGCTAGCAACATGTAGGAGAATGAATCTGGATCTTTATCTCTCAGCTTATACAAAAATCAACTCAAAATTGATTAAGAACTTAAATCTAAGACCTGAAACTCTAAAAATTCTAGAAGATAACGTTGGAAAAACCCTTCTTGACATTGTCTTAGGCAAGGATTTCATGACTGATAACCCAAAAGCAAATGCAATAAAAAAAAAGATAAATAATTGGGACTTAATTAAACTAAAGAGCTTTTACACAACAAAAGGAGCAGTCAGCAGAGTAAACAGACAACCCACAGAGTGGGAGATAATCTCCACAATCTATACATCTGACAAAAGACTAATATCTGGAATCTACAATGAACTCAAACAAGTCAGTAAGAAAAAAAAACCAAACAATCCCATCAAAAAGTGGGCCAAAGACATGAATAGACAATTCTCAAAGGAAGATATACAAATGGCCAGCATATGAAAAAATGCTCAAGATTACTAATGATCAGGGAAATGCAAATTAAAACTACAATGCGATACCACCTTACTCCTGCAAGAATGGCCATAATCAAAAAACTGTAGATGTTGGCATGCATGCGGTGAACAGAGAACACTTCTACACTACTGGTGAGAATGTAAACTAGTAGAAAACACTATGGAAAATAGTGTGGAGATTTCTTAAAGAACTAAAAGTAGACCTACTATTTAATTGTGCAATCCTGCTACAGGGTATCTACCCAGAGGAAAAGCAGTCATTATACGAAAAAAGATACTTTCACACGCATGTTTATAACAGTATAATTCGCAATTGCAAAATCATGGAACCAATCCAAATGCCCATCAGTCAATGAGTGGATAAAGAAACTATGGTATATTTATACACTGAAATACTATTCAGCCATAAAAAGAAATGAATTAATGGCATTTGCAATGAGCTGGATGAAATTGGAGACTGTTCTTCTAAGTGAAGTAACTCATGGAAAACCAAACCTTGTATGTCTTCACTGATAATGTGGGAGCTAAGCTATGAGGATGCAAAGGCATAAGAATGATACAATGTATGTGCACTTGGCTCTTGTTTGGGGCCACAAAAAAAAAAAAAAAATGATACAATGGACTTTGGGGAATTGGAGGGAAGAGTCGGAGGGGGGTGAGGGATAAAAGACTACAAATATGGTTCAGTGTATGCTTCTCAGGTGATGGGTGCACCAAAATCTCACAAATCATCACGTAATCAAAACCACCTTGTAACCAAATACCACATATACCCCAATAACTTATGGAAAAAAATTTTTTAAGTAAAAATAAATAAATAAAACATGTTCCTTTAGTTCAGTGGCTGTTTGTCTCAGCCACACATTAGAATCACCTGAGAACTTTTAGAAACTCGTGGCCTGTAACCACTGTACACTGGGACTCTAGCAGGGTTCCACCTGCTAGACGTCTTTACTTAATTGGTCTTGGCTGGAGTCCAGGCATCTAAATTATTTTAAAGCTTCCTACTTGAGGCTGGGGCTGTGGCTCATGCCTGTAATCCTAGCACTTTGGGAGGCTGAGGCAGGCAGATCACCTGAGGTCGGAAGTTCAAGACCAGCCTGACCAACATGGAGAAATCCCATCTTTAATAAAAACAAAAAATTAGCTGGGCATGGTGGTAAATGCCTGTAATCAAAGCTACTCAGGAGGCTGAGGCAAGACAATCGCTTGAACTCGGGAGGTGGAGGTTGTAGTGAGTCAAGATTGCGCCATTGCACTCAAGCCTGGGCAGCAAGAGCAAACATCCGCTAAAAACAAAAACAAAACTTCCTACATGAACCTAATGTGTATCCAGGGTTAAGAAACATTTCAAGCCTGGGCAACATAGTGAGACCTCATCTCTACTAAAAAAAAAATTTAAGTTGGGTGTAGTTGCCCACACCTATAATCCCATCTACTGAGGAGGCTGAGGTGGGAAGACCAGAGAGTCCCAGGCTGCAATGAGTGGTGTTTGTGCCACTGTATTCCAGCTTGGGTGACAGAGTGAGATCTTGTCTTAAAAATATAATAATATATCTCAGCTGTAACTTTTTATACCTTAGAAGTGAATAAATTTTTAGTCAGATTTCTTTCCTTTCTATTGGCATGCCTTTCTTTTTCTTTTTATGTCGCTTTTATATCCTCTAAGACATTAAGCAAGATTCCAAGCACAAAATATGTTCTTACTACATTCTGATTGAAGCAAATTCAATAAAAAACAAGGTAATTTTTTTTTAACCTTATGTGTAGTTTTTTGTTTTTTTTTTTTTTTTTTGAAATGAAGTTTCACTCTTGTTGCCAAGCTGGAGTGCAATGGCAGGATCTTGGCTCACTGCAGTCTCCGCCTCCCAGGTTCAAGTGACTCTCCTGCCTCAGCCTCCCGAGAAGCTGAGATTACAGGCATGCACCACCACACCCAGCTAATTCTGTATTTTTAGTAGAGACAGGGTTTCTCCATGTTTTTCTGGCTGGTATCGAACTTCCAACCTCAGGTGATCCGCCTGCCTCGACCTCCCAAAGTGCTGGGATTACAGGCATTAGCCACCGCCCCTGGCCTAAAAAACAAGGTAATTTCTTAAATTTAGTCTTAATTCTGTTATGGCTGTCTATCTAAACCAGCCAGTTGTAAATGTATGAATATTATATATACCAAACTACATGAATGTTGTCTGTAGTATTTGTATTACTTTTCACATACATACATTTAAGCTGTTGCCTGCCCCCTCCAAAAAAAAAAAAAAACTGTGCTAATTATAATTTAGAAAGCCACTGCTGAAGGTCCCAAAAAGTTCCCCCAAAATTGTCAGCTATAGAGAATAAAGCCCATTTAGTTGAGGATTTCTAAAGAAAGGAAATAGGGATAGTCAATCAAGAGTACTGCTGAAATTAATGAGGTTAAGAATTTTAGACCTGGAATAAGCTCGAGGATGAGTATATTGGAGAGTAGAAGATGCAAAATACTACTTAAATTATAGGCAGGAATGATGAAAAAGGATGTAGTCAAAAGTAGATGGAGGTCGGGTATGGTGGCTCACATCTGTAATCCTAGACCTTTGGGAGGTCAAGATGGGAGGATTCTTGGTGCCGGAAATTCAAGACTAGCCTAGGCAACATAGTGAGATCCTATTTCTCCAACTGCACATATATACATATACATGTCTCCTGCAGATAGATAAAGAAGGGAAATGGAACTGAGAAAGGAAGGGATTTGCTGGACTAAAATGTATCTTAAGAGAATTCAAGACAAGATTATAAACTAACCCAGATCATTTTCTACTTTTTTTATTTAAGCCTGTGGAGTATGGTTTAAAATTACAGGACAGGCATGGTAGCTCATGCCTATAATTCCAACACTTTGGAAGGCTGAGGCATGAGGATCTCTTGAGCCCAAGAGTTCCAGAAAAGCCTGGGCAACATGGTGAAACCTTATGTCTACAAAAATACAAAAATTAGCTGGATATGGTTGCGTGCATCTATAGTTCCAGTTACTCAGAGTCTTGGGAGGATTGCTTGAGTCCAGGGGATTGAGGCTTCAGTGAGCCGTGATCATGCCACTGTACTTCAGCCTAGGCAACACAGCAAGACTCTGTCTCAAAAATAAATAAATAAAATAAAGTAAAATAAAATAGCAGCCATAAGTTCTAAAAAATAAGTTAAAAATTTGTATCAAAAGATAAATAGTAAGGAGAGTGCATGCCTGAGAATTCATCTACTAATGGTTATTATGCTGGAAAATAATGATAATTTTATCATTATTATATCACAGCATGATAATTTCAGGGCATATTTGAAAAGATTTCCCAAACATCACAAATTCAAGTTGCAGTTTGCTCCAGTAACAGCAGCATGATGATCACTTTCATGAGTGTTTCTTGTGTCACAAAAGACCCCAGAGAAGAATAATATCTTGAAAGCCTCCAGTGAAATCCATTTAGGATACTGAAAGAATGGAATTTGATTTGTGCATCCTCTTTTCATTATTCTATAGTTCCCAATAATTTGGGAAGAGAATCCAGTGAGACTAGTAAAATATTTCAATACCTCTTTTTTTTATTTTACTTTTTTTTCAGTATTCGAAACAATCAATACCTCTTTAATAACACTCTGAATTTGTATAATAGTATGACTAATTACTGTGGATGTAAGATGTGCAATGGTTCTTTATTCTCTCCACCATCATTACGGCAGGGGCAGAAGTAGGGATAAAGTTTTTCCTTGAAAGTGTTACTAAAGGTATAAATGTGGGTCATGGTTTTAGCATTGTAGAAGGACACCTGCCCTCCTTCATAATCCAGGTATATGCCCACCTTATCGAGGTTGTTAGTCAGTGTCAGACTGCAAGAAGGCAAATCCAGAGCCTTTAGATCAGTTTGGTTCCTTAGTCTTAAAAGCCAGAATCCTTGCTCAGGAGTTAGAGGACAGCAGCCCTTCCGAACGATAGATTCTCTGACAACTCCAATTGTCCATTTTGTCTTTTTTGCTACTTCTACTTCCCAGTACCACTTTCCAGATGTGAAGCCTCTTGAGCCCAGCACAGCCACACTTGAGTCAAACCTCTCTGGATCATCAGGCATTTCCTTCTTAATGTCACCATGCCACACACTGGTCTGGCTTTTGGAGAGCACCAGATTTGGGTGAGCTGTTTTAGGGTCCAGGGTTAGTGGAGATAGGCCTAGAAAGAGAAAAAAAGGAAGCAGAGCATGGGAGAAAAGGGAGTCAACACAAATTCGCATAGTAAAAGATAGTATTTCATATTCAACAGTCCTTTATCTCCCCATACACAGAGGCTTTTAGACAGCCAAGCAATTACATATATACATATATGTATATTTTTGAGACAAACATTCTGTTGCCCAGGCTGGAGTGCAGTGGTGTGAGCTCAGCTCACTGCAACCTCTGCTTCCTAGGTTCAAGCAATTCTCATGCCTCAGCCTCCCAAGTAGCCAGGATTACAAGTATGCGCCACCACATCTGGCAAATCTTTGTAATTTTTTATCAGAGATAGGGTTTTGCCATGTTGGCCAGGCTGGTCTTGAACTCCTGGCCTCAAGCAACCCACACTCCTAGGCCTCCCAAAGTGCTGAGATTACAGGCATGGGTCACCACATCTGGCTGCTTACATGCTTTTATTGTTTGGGTATCCATGTTACTATATTCTAGACATTTTTATATTTAGGGTAAAAATCAGTGTTTACTCTGAAGTAATTTATACTCTATTAAAAGGAACAATACAAATAATATAAATCTGTACTAATAAATATAAGAAAATACAAATGCCAAAAGGGTAAAAATTAGGTAAATTATCTAGTTTCCTTTTCTAGGAAAGGGTAAAAATTCTAAGAATTAGGTAGTTTTTACCCTTCTTCCATTTCTAGGAAAGCTTTCTGAGGAAGATAAGTATTCAGTTATGATATATATGAGATGTATTTAGGATGTTTTGAATAAATAGGGGGAAAGAAATACATGGATGAAAAACAGTCCCTGTGTGGAAGAGAACACAATAGGTTGCCTGTTAGACACAGGCAAGACTGAGCTAAGTGGTTCAGAGTTTAGAGGACAATAGTGAGAAGTTTATTTTGGTTTAACAGATAATTAGATTTTTGAGAGCTAGAGTGGTTTATAGCATTGCTACTTATAATGTGGCCCACAGACTGTGGTTAACAGTCTGGGACAAAGACAGTGTAAAAATTAAAAGGAAACTTTTAGAAACTTTCATAGTAATTTGACAGTAATATTATGTCAGTTGCACCTAATAATTACAAAATTGGACTTGTACTTTGTAATCTTTGTTTTTTCCTAATTTCACTTTTTTTTTCTTTTTTTTTTTTCTTTTTTCTTTTTTTTTTTTTTTTTTGAGACGAAGTTTTGCTCTTGTTGCCCAGGCTGGAGTTCAACGGTTCGATATTGGCTCACTGCAGCATCCACCTCCTGGATTCAAACAATTCTCTTGCCTCAGCCTCTCAAGTAGCTGGGATTACAGGCATGTGCTACCATGACTGGCTAATTTTCTATTTTTAGTAGAGACAGGGTTTCTCCGTGTTGGTCAGGATGGTTTTGAACTCCCAACCTCAGGTGATCTGCCCACTTGGGCCTTCCAAAGTGCTGGGATCACAGGCGTGAGCCACTACGGCTGGCCTAATTTCACTTTTTCTTTTCTTTTTTTTTTTTTTGAGACGGCGTTTCGCTCTTGTTACCCAGGCTGGAGTGCAGTGGCGCGATCTCGGCTCACCGCAACCTCCGCCTCCTGGGTTCAAGCAATTCTCCTGCCTCAGCCTCTTGAGTAGCTGGGATTACAGGCATGTGCCACCATGCCCAGCTAATTTTTTATATTTTTAGTAGAGATGGGGTTTCACCATGTTGACCAGGATGGTCTCGATCTCTCGACCTCGTGATCCACCTGCCTCAGCCTCCCAAAGTGCTGGGATTACAGGCTTGAGCCACCGTGCCCGGCCCTCACTTTTTCAAGTAATTTATATTATATTCTACAAAAGTATCAGTCCATGACAGATTGAGATTTTTAAAGTTGGCCCTTCATCACAGATAATTTTACAAGCATTAGTTTACACAATTCAAAGGGCAGCAGTATAAAAAAAGAATATCTAAACTAAATGAGGAAAGATTGAAAGCAGACCAGTAAGAGGATGACACAAATTCCAGATGTGAGATCACTGGACCTTGGCATGAAATTTGATAAAGGAGACATAATAGCTATGTGTGTTCACAACATGGACACAGATACATATATGCATGCATTTGTCGTTATTAGATTTACTTATCCTTGAAAGCGAGATCAATCTAGTGTCTCTCTCTCTCTCTCTCTCTCCTTTTTTTGTTGTTGTTGTTGTTGAGATGAAGGCTTGCTCTGTCACTCAGGCTGGAGTGCAGTGGCACAATCTCCGCTCACTGCAACCTCCGCCTCCTGGGTTCAGGCAACTCTCCTGCTTCAGCCTCCCGAGTAGCTAGAATTACAGGCGTGTGCCACCACACTCATCTGATTTTTTTGTAATTTTAGTAGAGACAGGGTTTACCATGTTGGCCAGGCTAGTCACTAACTCTAGTTTAACTCTATCTTCTCAAAAAAGCCTGAGTCTTTTCCATCATCCCAAGGACTTTTCTTTCCAAAAACAGGCTTTGAAGAATTAAGAATCTTAAATTTTTCCATACAGGCCAAATCCCTATTGCCTTACATATCCCCATTCACTTTGGGTTGCTAATCTTTCTGATGTGAGGGCTAGGTTTTCTTTGGAGGTACCATAAATGCTTTTTAGTAACTTTTTGGAATCCCAGTCTGCTGTCTTTGCTAAGCCTCGGACACCTCTGGCTAGTTCAGCCCACATTGGCTCTGGAGATTCCTGAGTCAGCTTTTTGTCCTCTCTTTCCCTCTCATGCCATATTCACACAACAAAAAGTTGTGTCAGCTCCACCTTCAAAATATATCTTGTGCCAAAACACTTCTGACTACTTCCATAATTATCACTGGCCTGGAACTACTGCAATAGCTTTTTACTATTTTGTTTCCACTCCTGCCCATCTGCATCCTGTTCTACACATATCATGCATGAGATCATGCCATTTTCCTGCTCATCATACGCTTATGTTTACCATCACATCTGAGATAAAATCCAGAGTCCTTACAGAGGAAAAAAGAGCCATGTAATTTACCCACCTGTCTACTTCATCTCCTACCACACTCTCCCTCATTTACGTTGATTCATCCACCCTTGTCTGTTGGAAGTTCCTTGAGCATAATGAAGTTCATTCCTACTTCAGGGTCCTTACAGTTTCTTTCCTTGTCCTAGAATGCTTTTTCCCCATATGGTTCACTCCCCATTATTCAGGTCTTTGTTCATGCAAATATTTTAAATTGCATAATTTCCAAGCTAGAATAGGCAAACTACAACCAACAGGTCAAATCTGGCCCACTGCCTACTTTGTAAGTAAAGTTTTATCGGATTACATTTATGACCATTCATTTATATGTTGTCTGTAGCTTCTTTTTCACTATAAGGGCAGAGTTAAGTAGCTGCAGCAAAGACCATACACGTGCAAAGCCTAAAATATTTACTCTTCAAACTTTTACAGAAAAAGTGCCAGCTCCTGCTGTAAAGCAACAGCCTAATTTATAAGCCTTGCAGAAAAGGAGTATGTATGGATCTACAAAATAAGCAGACTTCGAAATAAAAAGTGTGGAATATATTTTACAAAGGTCTGACTGCAGTTACCATAGAAAAACAATTTCTTTGTACAGAGGGAGAGTATATGGATAAATAATACATTATTAATAAATAGTCATATACTAAATAAATCTCATTTGGTTTTCTTAATGTAAAATTACACCAAAAATTTAAAAATCAGTTTGCACTTTAAAAGACTGCAAGAAGTGAAGTTTGGCTTTACAGAGTAAAGTAAACAGGAAGAACCTGTGTCATACCAAGGCAGCTACAATTTGCTGAGCAGAGTAACACAGAGGAGGGAACTTCACAGAAACTTTTTTTTTTTTTTGAGACAGAGTCTTGCTCCATCGCCAGGAGCTAGGCTGGAGTGCAGTGGTGCAATCTTGGCTCACTGCAACCTCCGCCTCCTGGGTTCAAGCAATTCTCCTGCCTCAGCCTCCCAAGTAGCTGGGACTACAGGCGCACGCCACCATGCCCAGCTAACTTTTATATTTTTAGTAGAGACAAGGTTTCACCATTTGGCCAGGATGGTCTCGATCTCTTGACCTCATGATCCACCCGCCTCAGCCTCCCAAAGTGCTGGGATTACAGGCGTGAGCCACTGTGCCTGGCCTACAGAAACTTTTGAACATCTACAAAGGGATTCTCTCAAGGCTGTGACTGAGTACTGATCTGCACATATATGCAGTGAAATTCGTCAAGGCCAGAGAAAGAACCCCCAGAAATAAGTAGACTGAACAATTTCTGGAGCTCACACAAAGCTGGAAATGGTTTTCTTTTTCTTTTTTCTTTTTTTTTTTTTTTGAGACGGAGTTTCGCTCTTGTTACCCAGGCTGGAGTGCAATGGCACGATCTCGGCTCACCGCAACCTCCGCCTCCTGGGCTCAGGCAATTCTCCTGCCTCAGCCTCCTGAGTAGCTGGGATTACAGGCACGCGCCACCACGCCCAGCTAGTTTTTTGTATTTTTAGTAGAGTCGGGGTTTCACCATGTTGACCAGGATGGTCTCGATCTCTCGACCTCGTGATCCACCCGCCTCGGCCTCCCAAAGTGCTGGGATTACAGGCTTGAGTCACCGCGCCCGGCGGAAATGGTTTTCAATCTTGCCAACCAGAATGGAAAAATGTCATAAAATTACTAACTATTACTCATAGAGTAATCAAAAGGGTTATTACCTTAGAAAACAGTCTAAGTTAGCCCTAGATTAAAGGCTGTTCTTGAGCCACTCTAACAAGGCTTTATTTAGCCTCAAAAGGAACAAAATTATTTAATACAATGTTAAGTGCACGCCAGAGTTAAATTCAATAGAACTGAAAGAACTACAACAAAATCTAGCAAATATAAAATTCACCAATACAAGTGAATTCATCAGTATGAACAATATGAAATTCATCATATCTTACATCCAGTAAAACATTACTAACCGGAAAAGACAAATCTCAAGGGCAGCAAAATTTCAAATAATTTACACGAATACTCTACCCTCAGGGAAGGGGAACATAACCACTCACTCCTTAAGTGTGGGCTGTGCACAGTGACTGCCTTCCAAAGTATGTAAGTATAGAAAGAGAAAAAAAAAGAGTAACTTTACAGTGTAGAAACCTGGCAGACACTTCCTCAGCCAGGTGATTAAAGTCACCATCAACAGTCATAAATCATGTTGACAGTGTGTACACTTAATGTGATGTGATGACAATGGTACTTTAATGCTACTGTCTTCCTCACCCAACTCATAACCAAAATTTTATGAGGAAAACATCAAAAAATTGAAGTAGTGCAGCATCCTTACAAAATATATGACTAGTACTCCTTAAAACTGTCCAAGTCATAAAAAATAAGGCAAGTCTGAGAAACTGTCACAGCCAAGAAAATGACAACTAAGTGTAAAGTGGCATCTTAGATGGCAACCTGAAACAGAAAAACGACATTAGAGAAAAACTAAGAAAATCTAAAGGAACTAAGGATTTTAGTTAATAATATATCAATTTGGTTCATTAGTTGTAAAAAATGTTAAATGTGGCCGGGCGCGGTGGCTCAAGCCTGTAATCCCAGCACTTTGGGAGGCTGAGGCGGGTGGATCACGAGGTCGAGAGATCGAGACCATCCTGGTCAACATGGTGAAACCCCGTCTCTACTAAAAATACAAAAAATTAGCTGGGCATGGTGGCACGTGCCTGTAATCTCAGCTACTCAGGAGGCTGAGGCAGGAGAATTGCCTGAACCCAGGAGGCGGAGGTTGCGGTGAGCCGAGATCGCGCCATTGCACTCCAGCCTGGGTAACAAGAGCGAAACTCCGTCTCAAAAAAAAAAAAAAAAAAAAAAAAAAAAAAAAAAAAAAAAATGTTAAATGTAAGATGTTAATAATAGGAAAAACTGATGAGGTATATAAAAACTCTGTACTATCTTTTCAGTTTTTCTGTAAAATTTAAAAATCTAAAAGTGTCCTAAAAAATAAAGTCCACTAGGCCGGGCGTGGTGGCTTAAGCCTGTAATCCCAGCACTTTGGGAGGCCAAGGCGGATGGATCACGAGGTCAAGAGATTGAGATCATCCTGGTCAACATGGTGAAACCCCGTCTCTACTAAAAATACAAAAAATTAGCTGGGCATGGTGGCGCGTGCCTGTAATCCCAGCTACTCAGGAGGCTGAGGCAGGAGAATTGCCTGAACCCAGGAGGTGGAGGTTGCAGTGGGCCGAGATTGCACCATTGCACTCCAGCCTGGGTAACAAGAGCGAAACTCCATCTCAAAAAAATAAATAAATAAAGCCCACTAAAAAGAAAAAAATTACTGGCCAGGCAAAGCAGCAGGAAAATATGAACCTCAGTCAGGAGAACAATCAAACAATAAAATCAGGCCCAGAAATGACAATGATGATAGAGTTCCCAGACAAGGACATTAAAATAGATAAGTGTCTTCTACTTTTTCAAGAATATAGAGGAAAGCATGAATATGGTGAGAAGAGATATGCAAGATATAAAAAGAATCAAATGAAACTTCTAGAAATGAAATGTATATAAAATGAAAATATCTTGAATAATATTAACAGAAGATTAGACCGTGCAGAAGAAAAGATGAGACAATTTGAATAACAATAGAAACCTTTTTTTTTTTTTTTTTTTGAGACGGAGTTTCTCTCTTGTTACCCAGGCTGGAGTGCAATGACACGATCTCGGCTCACCGCAGCCTCCGCCTCCTGGGTTCAGGCAATTCTCCTGCCTCAGCCTCCTGAGTAGCTGGGATTACAGGCATGCACCACCATGCCCAGCTAATTTTTTTTTTTATTTTTAGTAGAGACGGGGTTTCACCATGTTGACCAGGATGGTCTCGATCTCTTAACCTCGTGATCCACCCGCCTCGGCCTCCCAAAGTGCTAGGATTACAGGATTGAGCCACCACGCCCGGCTAGAAACCATTTTAAATGAAGTGTGAGGGGAAAAAAGGCTAAAAAATATACTATCAATGACCTGAGACAACTTAACAATATCAAGTTGTCTAAAATATGTAAAATTAGACTCCGAGAAGGAGAGGAGAAAAGGGATTGGTAAAAAAAAGTATTTGGAGAAATACCAGCTGACATTATTCCAAATTTGATGAAAACTATAAACCCTCATATCCAAGAAGCTCAGTGAAGCACAAGCAGAATAAATACAAAGAAATTCACACCAAGACCCCGTATAATCAAATTGATGGAATCAAGTGACAAAAAGCTAGGCTTAAAATTAGCCAAAGAGTCCAGGCACAGTGGCTCATGCCTCTTATCCCAGCACTTCAGGAGGCCAAGGTGGGTGAATAGCTTTAGGTCAGGAGTTTGAGACCAGCCTGGCCAACATAGTGAAACTCTATCTCTACTAAAAATACAAAAAAAAAAAAAATTAGCCAGGTGTGGTGGTGCATGCCTGTAATCCTAGCTACTAAGGAGACTGAGTGGGGAGGACTGCTTGAACACGGTAGGCAGAGGTTGCAGTGAGCCAAGATCACACCACTTCACACTCCAGCCTGAGCAACAGAATGAGACTCTGTTTCAAAACAAAACAAAACAAACAAAAAGAAGATGAAAAAGGAAAACTAAAAGGCGTTCAATCAAAAGAAGGAAGGTATAGAGAAAAAAGGAACAAAAGCCAGATAGTATGGTTAAAAAATAACCAAACTGGTCAATTTAAGCCCAGATATATTAATAACACTAAATGTAAATAGTCAAAACACTTCAATTAAAAGACATAGATTGTCAGATTAAATAAAAAAAGCAAGACTAAACTATATTCCAGCCATACAAAACATACCTAAAATATAAAAACATAAATAAGTTAAAAGTAAGATGATGAGAAAAAATGTACTATGCAAACAGATAATTTTGTTTGATTAAAAAAACTAAGATTTTTTTAAAAAACAAATCTAAAGAAAAACACAGTGACAATATTGATATTAGACAAAATAGACTTCAGGAAAGAGAATAGTAACGGGGATAAAGATGAACATTTTATAATTTTAGTGAGATTGAGTCATCAAAAGATCATAACAATCTTAAGAGTGTATTCACCTAAATAACAGAGCTGAAAAATACATGAAGCACCTTGAGGGCTTTTATGACCCATCAGTGACTCAATTAGTATATTGGACTATATTAAAATTTAAAGTGTATTTCTTTGAAAGACCGTGTTAAAAAATGAAAAGCCAAGACATCTAGTGAGAAAAAATATTTAAGAAACATATATCTGATAAAAGATTTGTATCCTTTACAACTTAACAATAAAAATACAAACAAAAGATTGAACATATCCAAAAAGATATATGAATGACAAGGAAGCACATGAAAGGATGCTCAACAGAATTGCTCATTAGAGATATACAGCTGGGCACTGCAGCTCATGCCTGTAATTCCAATACTTTGGAAGGCTGAGGTGAGTGAATCACATGAGGCCAGGAGTTCAAGAGCAGCCTGGCCAACATGGCAAAATCTCGCCTTTACTAAAAATACAAAAATTAGCTAGGCATGGCAGTGCATGCCTATAATTTCAGCTACTTCAGCGACTGAGGCATAAGAACCACTTGAGCCTTGGAGGCAAAGGTTCCAGTGAGCTGAGATTGCACCACTGCACTCTAGCTTGGGAAACAGAGTGAGACTCTGTCCTACCCTCCAACCAAAAAAAAAAAAGAAATATGCAAATTAAAACCACAGTGAGATATTACTGTGCATTCAATAAAATGCTTAAAATTAAAAAGATTGGCAATATCAAGTTTTGGGAAGGATATAGAGAAACTAAGATTTTCGTTAGTTGCAGGATGGATAAAACTACCATGGACTACCCCATGTCCATCAATTGGCAAATGAATATTCATGGTTATTGATACATGGAACAACCTAAGTGCTCAAAAGAAGCATTATGCTAAGTTAAAAAAGCCAGACATGAAACACTGCATAATGTATGTTATCGCTTAGATAAAAATTTAGAAAAGACACATCTAAAGTGAAATGAACCATATCAGTGACTGTTAGAGGGGGAGAGTAGAAGGAAGAGACTGCTTGCAAAGGGGCATGTAGGAACTTCTCGGAGTGATAGAATTTTCTATATTTTGATTATGGAGATGTTTACCTAAGTATATATATTTATCAGAACTCATCAAATTGTGCCCTTAAAATTGGTGAATTTTACTCTATGTTAACTTTATCTCAGTAAAGTTGATTTTTTTCAATGTAAATTACCTGGAAAAATTTGTGATTTTTCATTAAATCAGGGATATGTTTGTGATTTGTCATTAAATCAATAACCACAAACAATAATAATAATGATAAGTCCATGAATTCTATAAAAACCCTATTTAGAATTTTATTTTTATAAAGATTTTTATTTAGAACTTTATTTGATGTTCTTGAAATGCCATGTGTGTTATTTTGTCTTGCTCAGTCCTTTGGTATTTGCAGGAACACAAAAACTTAGTGTCCTTTTTAGGTACATTTATTTAAATTATTGGTTTTCTTCTGAAGCACTGAAAATCTAAACAGTCTCCTAAAATATTCTATGCTGTGAACATCAAGCACAAGAGAAACTATAAAGACCCAATGTACATACAAAGAGCATGTACAGAAACCTCCTTCTTCAGAGAAGAGAAGCCCCCGGGATCCATATAGCTGATTTAGCAAAGCAACATAAAATTTTGTCTGTTGCCATATTTCATAAAACAGTCAAACAAAATTATAGGCTAAGAAGTAATCCTGATATCAAACTCTTATCTGTTTATCAGCACAAAATCATAAATTCTTAGGTCATGACACGAGAAGAAATTGAGTCATACCAACTAGCCTCCTTTTGGCCAAACTCTACCCCTCCACTATCCCAGACTGCAAAATCCTAATTAGGGCCACAGAAGAGATCCCACAGATTAAACATAGATTAGGAGCCCCAAGAACCAATAGTTACTATCCACTGATACCTGGAGAGAGAATGTCCTGCATTTCCCTCCATGCCATATACTGGATAGGACCTTTGTACTGGCCCAGGTTCAGATTTCCGGAAATAAGCTCTCTTGTTGCCAGCAATGTCATTCCTTGCTTCAAGCTGCAGGGTACATAAATAATTTATCCTTAGACATCCTCCAGAGACTCAAGGAAGGAAATTAAGAGTACCATAGAGAAACACTTACCTATCTAAGAGAGGTACGATGTCCTAGAAGAAAGGAAAAAGAGAGACATCAGATGCCTGTTCATCAGCTCCTGAAATTTCTTTGGTAATACTAGCCACCACCAGAATTTGTGCAGATGGTCCCCAACTTATCTCTCCCAACTTCTTATTCTTCATACACTTTTTCTAATCTTCATCCCTGATCCTAACCCAGGTTAAACTGGTCTTTTGCTCTTTCTAGAGTTCCCTTCTACAGGGAGCAAGACAGAAGCCAAAAATATAACACTTAAGGTTAAGCTATCTTTACCTATACTTTCAAATAGTCTCAGAGGAAAAACACAGTAAGTATTCCAGTCCCAAGGCCACTTTTCCTTACGCTAGCGAATTAAACTTCTGAATGCTGAGATGGTAACCAACATCTCTTTAGAGGTGAAGCTTAAGAAAGCAAAGGTTAGAAAACAGCTTTTCAGACAAGTCAGCTTATGATTACTGAGAGCCAGAGATACAATTCATGCTGCAACATTTCTATTTTTGAGAAATAAAGTGGCAGGCTCTTTATGGAAAAATATTAAACTATTAATATATACTATTATTAATGGGATTTTAAAATCTTATTTCCTAGAGGATAAAAGTAAAGCTTTTGCTGTGCATGTAGCTTAAGTACCCTCCTGCTTTTCTTCCAGAGAATCTTAGAAGCACTATAGCAATTTTGTTTTGTTGTGTTTTCCCTGACTGTGAAAAGCTACTTCTGCATTCTTTCCAAGCCTCTTCCCCGCTCTAGGTAGGAAGGTACCCATAATCATATTGGTATGAATTCTCACTTTGAGAAAGTCGAAGGAGTTCTGTTGTTCCATCTTTGCCTGAACGTTCATCAACATATCCTTGGCTAGGACACATCGCTCCTGAAGGTGGCTCAGATTCAGCTCCATCTCCTCATTCAAGGCTTTCCCCTCTTCCTGGAGTTCACTTAAAATATCCTCTTCTTTGCTGTCCAGGAACTTATGCAGCTTTAGAAACTCCGTGGACACATGTTGCTGCAGATATAGCTTGTTTTCCTGGAAACCTCCATGATTATTACCATGGTTATTACAGAGACTAGTGCTTGGGGATGGGGAACCCACACCACCAACACTCACACACTTGGGAAATACCATTACAGAAAAAATGCATACAACTGTCTACTGATAATCAAATTCAACCATATTAAAATGAGTCCTTTGGGAGACTTACTCCTTCTTTTCCAACTAATTTAATAATTCAGGGTGAAATAGTCAAAAGTGTCCTCTAGGTTCCTATTGCAGTACTGAGATGGTAACCAGGGCCATATTAAATAAGACCGTGGAGTTAATCAAACATTCTAGAATGGATGATAATAGCCTCCTAGATTGGTAAACCAATAGCTACCAGTGGTACTATTAGACTGGGGTCACTTGGAGTCTGGAAGAACTGTCCTTACTTAGAAATCAGAACTGGGGGAATGCCACTCTGCTACAATGACAATATAAAAGAAGCAGGAGATAACATCTGAAGTGCTGAAATTGATAACCGTAACACTTGTAGCTTTTTTCTTGGGTGACCTCAACATCCTCACAGGTAAATCATTTAGTATCCTGGCTTCTCAGTTCCTTATTCTCCTCATTTCTAGTGATTTTCGCCTTTATTCATTCCCATAGTCTCACCAAGGATTTTATCACCCCCGGCAATTGCATCATCTCTAAAATAACTTTTTATGCACCAAGCTTACTCAGATACCCTTATTTCAACAATTATTGGATCTCATTGAAACCTCCTATTCACCACCCCCTCCATTTCTATTCAGGAACTTCTACCTTCATGTCCTGTCTTATCTAGCTTGGATTCCATGGTCCATAATTATTATTGCACCCTTAAGATAGTCTTGGCTGGGCTCATACCTGTAATTCCAACACTTTGGGAAGCCAAGCTGGGAGGATCGCTTGAACAGGAGTTCAAGACTGGGCACCATACTGAGACCCAATCTCTCCAAAAACAAAATAATTAGGCAGGTATGGCACACTAGTCCCAGATACTCAGAAGGCTGAGGTGGGAAGATCTCTCGAGCCCAAGAGTTTGAGGTTACAGTGAGCCCATATCCACCTCTTCACTATCATCTTGCTTACCATGTTCCAGCTTTATTGGCCTTTTCTCTATTTAACATAGCAGCTAACTTTCTGTCTCAGGACTTTTCCATATGCTCTTTTCTATTCCTAGAACATCCTTCTCCAGGTCACCTTCTTCATATTCTCACTCACCCAGTTCACTTCTCTAAGTTACTTATCATTCACTTCTCAATTTTTAGTAAGTGACCTCTTCCAATTTAGACTATGTTCTCCATTTATATGCTATCATTGTACCGTCTACTTTAATGATAGTACTTATCACAGTTGTTATTTTCTTTATACTGGTGAGTTTAATTAACACCTGTCTCCCAACCCCAGTATCTAGTTTTATGCTTGACCCACTCAATAAATAGTTGTTGAATGAATGAATGAATGTTGACACTAATAGGAACTTTTACAACAGGAACAAGATTCTCTAAAGACATTATTACTGGCCGGGTGCGGTGGCTCAAGCTTGTAATCCCAGCACTTTGGGAGGCCGAGGTGGATGCATCACGAGGTCGAGAGATCAAGACCATCCTGGTCAACACAGTGAAACCCCGTCTCTACTAAAAAAAAATACAAAAAATTAGCTGGGCATGGTGGCACGTGCCTGTAATCCCAGCTACTCAGGAGGCTGAGGCAGGAGAATTGCCTGAACCCAGGAGGCGGAGGTTGCGGTGAGCCGAGATCACGCCATTGCACTCCAGCCTGGGTAACAAGAGCGAAACTCCGTCTCAAAAAAAAAAAAAAAAGACATTATTACTTCCACATATCCTTCTTCTTTCCCTCAGTCTACGTATTTCTTCTTCCAGATGGTAAATACCTGAAAAGGCTCTTCTCCATAGAATAATTAATAAAGAAACAGAACTTCCAATTTAGCAACACCAACTTAGGAGCTGATTTGCCAAATCTGTAGCCATTAGTGTTGTCCTAGAGTGCCTATGTAGTTGAAAGTGCAGACAATAGTTTTATTTAGTTTGGAGGAAGCTTAGAAGGATCAAATCAGATGGAAAAGCTTACAACAATAAAGACACAGGTCTAGAGGTTTCTGGTTATAAATTCAAAGAAAAGAAGGGTATTTCTTTGGACATAGCAATCTTTAGTGATATTTTTCTAATAAATTCCTTCTTTTGCCATAGATAAAGCCAAAAACCAGGCAGATTTCAACCCCACAACAGTCACCTGGTAAATGAACCATCAAAAAGATAGGCATATTAGGGGAAAGGTTAATCTGCTCTCTTGAGCAGCTATTAGGAACCTACTCCACCACCATATTCCTTTCCACCCTGCAGTCTCAGTTTTCCAATTCTATAGTCCAGGTGCCATTTAGTACAGGCGTCCCCAAACTACGGCCCATGGGCTGCATGCGGCCCCCTGAGGCCATTTATCCAGCCCCCCGCCGCACTTCAGGAAGGGGCACCTCTTTCTTTGGTGGTCAGTGAGAGGAGCACAGTATGTGGTGGCCCTCCAATGGTCTGAGGGACAGTGAACTGGCCCCCTGTGTAAAAAGTTTGGGGACGCCTGATTTAGTATGTTGATAACATATGTTAGGCACCTTTGTGCCCATAGCTAAAGTTACAAGAAGGATGTGTTCCAGTTGTATCTCATAGCCCCTCTGTCTTTCTCCTCACCTTGTAAACAGCAATAGCTTCCTTCTGCCTCTTCTTCAGGGACTGAAGCTCCTTCAGAGTTGCCTCCAGTTGACCCTGCTGGGTGGCAAGCTCCTCCTGAGAATACCAAATAGAATTAGCCCAGACTGACTCAGGAAATAAAGGATGATAAAGGACATCTTCCCCAAAGCCCCAGTGTGCAAGAAAAAAGCAAGCTCTTGATGCAAAAATCTTCCTTTTTCTCTGTACCATAGTTCTTGTCTCCTTCAAGAATTGTGAAGAAGAAAAGAAAAACAAGATCAGGTGCAGTAGCCCACATCTGTAATCTCAGCACTATGGGAGACTGAGATGGGAGGATCACTTGGGCCCAGGAGTTTGAAACCAACCTGGGCAACATATTGAGACCCCATCTCAAAAAAAAAAAAAAAAGAATCATGGGGAAAATTACATCTTAAAACTTGGTTTTGCTCTCTTAGTAGCTAGCTACAGGCGTTTGAAGAAGGAAATAGAACTCTAAACATTTTCCACTCCAGTTATACACTGTTCTCAGCATCTATAATTTTACTTGTGTTGTTCTCACTTGGAATACTTGATTCTTCCCTCTGTCCTTCCAAATCCAAATGATATCCCAGCTCTAGTCCTTTCCCTTTCTTTCACTATATTTCCCCCAACTATTTCATCTTTCACTAATCTCAGAAATTCTAAACCCTTAAGAATTACAAATGTGACAAAATTTAACTTTTAATAATAATCTTATATTGCTTCTGTTGTTTTCTTCATTTTAAACTTAATCCAATTTTGAAATTTTCATAACAAGAGCAGTGTCTTATATATCCGCATTCTGCACAGTGTTTAGCAGAGTGCTACCATGGCAGAGTTTTGGTACAGATTTGATTGAGGGAGTAAGCCAGAGCTCCTCCATTGTTCCTTTCCTAAAAGCAGCAACTCTGGAAAAAGAACTTTGCAAGATACATTGTACTTTCTGAGCAATCTGGGCTTTCTAATCATCATTTGAATAAAGGGATGGGGTTGGAAGAAAGAAGAAGCCCTATAAAATATTTTTCCTAGTTTTTCTAAGGGATTGTTCAAGGCCCAGAGCTCACCCACCGTGAAGAAACGGACAGCATCAGAGATTTGCAGGAACTCCGTAGACTGCCCCACAGACAAACGAGCATCCTTGCATTGAAAGCAGATCAGTCTCCCATCTGGTTTGCTGAACAATTTCAGGTTCTCTCCATGCTCTGGGCACTGTGGGTGGCCCCTGAGTAGGGGTAAGTTCTTAATCTTCTCTGCCAACCTGTCCAGTACAAGGTTGAATGTACAGTTGCTATACTGACATACCATCTTACACTCAGGACAGAATGTTTCCTTTGCTTTCAGCCTCCAAAAATGTTGGATACAGGCTTGACAGAAGTTGTGGCCACAGCTTAGCATCAGTGGGTCACAAAACCAATCATTGCACAGTGGGCAGTGTAGCTCCATAGTAATATCTTCTATCACTACTTTAGAGGGTAGTTGGATGATTGAATCATTTGTTTCAATATAGTTGACTGGGTCGATGTTGGAGGAGGAGCTGGAGGATACCTTTAGAAAAGAACGGCTAAAATGAGTTTATCTTTCTTGTTGCCCATTTTCACACTCAGGGATCATGGGCTCCATTCCTAAAGGAGTTGACAATTGGTGCAACTAGAATAAAGCACATAATCTCTCCTTTGGAAGTGAACCAGTAAATTGAGTGTTTTCTGACATTATATCGTATGATGCTATTTAAACTTTAATATAGAATCAAGGCAGAGGAAGAGTACTAAACCAAAGAAATGTACTTTGTGGTACATCTCTCTCTTTACTCACTTTCCCCATGTATCAGTTGAAAGTTTTATTTTAAAATTCTGCTCTACGAGTTATTACCTTTATTTTATTTTTGTTTTCTAGAAATTATGTACAAAGTATTGGAAAATAAATCAGATTCCTCAGTCAGTAGTATGATATCATCAACCACCCAGGCTCCGCTTCATTTCTTTTTTATAAACACATTTCAGAAATATAAATACAGAAGTTGGGCACAGTGGGTCACACCTGTAGTCCCAGCTACTCAGGAGGCTGAGACAAGAGAATCGCTTGAACCCGGGAGGCGGAGGTTGCAGTGAGCCGATATGGTGCCACCGCACTCCCGCCTGGGTGACACAGCAAGACTCGGTCTCAAAAGTTAAAAAACAAAAAATTCCCATGTATACCTTGTGGTCAAGAAGCCCATAATCATGACCAGGTATATAGATACATACTCAAACAGGTCTGAGAAGACCCAGAGCTTTTACCTCTGGCTAACCTTTAGGCTCCATGTGAGCAGGACTTAATAGCTAAGACAGAGCTATAAACAGCCTAGCTAAGTATTAAAGGAGCATCACAACACAGAGACAGATGGCAAAGACTGAAATAGTACTTTTTTCTTTTTCTTTTTCTTTTTTTCTTTTTGGCTCCAGGCATTTGAGGAAACTGTCAAAACACAAGCTGACCACTGAGCTAACGAAACATGGGTTTCAGTGACTGCACATAAAAAGGATAACAGACTTTACAAAAATAGTTTAGGAAAGTCACTAAGCAAGCGGCCAGGCACAGTGGCTCATGCCTGTAATCCCAGCATTTTGGGAGGCCGAGCTGGGTAGATCTCATGATCATCCTGGCTAACACATGAAACCCCATCTCTACTGAAAATACAAAAAATTAGCCAGGTGTGGTGGCACGCACCTTTAGTCCCAGTTACTCGGGAGACTAAGGCAGGAGAATCACTGCAACCCAGGAAGCAGAGGTTGCAGTGCACCACTGCACTCCAGCCTGGGCAGCAGAGTGAGACTCTGTCTCAACAAAAAGAAAAAAGCAAAGTCACTAAGCAAGCTAGCAATCCACAACCAGAAGCAACAACTAAACTAACCCCAGGGGTGGGGACAATCTGATTTCCACAGTTGCCACATTATAATATTCAAAATGTTCAGTTTTCAACAAATGAGGCATGCAAAGAAGCAAGAAAGTATGGCCCATTCATAGTGGGGAAAAAAATGAATAGAAATTTTCCCTAAGGAAGTCTAGACAATGGCCCTATTAGAAAAGGACTTTAAATCAACTAACTTAAATATGCTCGGAGAGCTAAAGGAATGTCTTACCAAATAGAGACTACCAATAAAGGGATAGAAATTATGAAAAGGAATCAAATAGAAAATATAGAGCTGAGTCAGGTGTGGTGGCTCACACCTATAATCCCAGCACTGTGGGAGGCTGAGGCAGGAGGATCACTTGAGCCGAGGAGTTTGAGACCAGCCAGAGCTATTTCCATCTGTTATACATCCCCTTGAGAAATGGAGTTTCCAGAAATGCTCTTTTCTTCATTCCTAACCCTGCCCATTCTAAGTTAGAATTTACCTCTCCTTATGGGCTTAGTTTCTCTTATATTCAGTTTTATTCTAGCCAGGAGAATGTGGCTGAACATTCTTTGCCTCATCATCAAATTCCATTCTCATTAATAACTATTTATATTGCCCTCATTCCATATATAAATTCTCACTTTTGTTGTCAAAATGCTTTTGTTTGAGTCCCTAGCCTTTTGCTCCATAATTTCCCACATAGCCTGTGTTCCCTATTGCTGATGCCTGACCTCCCCAAACCCTGGTCTTGCCTGTCTGGACCTTATATGGCCATCTTTTCTTTGAATGCTGCCTTTCAACCATTCTCTGTAGTCTCTTTTTTTGAAACTCCTATCAGACAGATGTTGAAGCTTCTCACTCCAGTCTTTATTTCTAGTAATTTCTTTTGCATATCTTCTAACTCCATAGCTCTCTATGCTTTGTTCTGGACATTTTCTCCCATTGTTGTTTTATAGATGCTATTTATTTTTTATTTCTCTAAACATCTTTGAATGAGATGAGTTCTTCCTGAATGAGCTATTTGCAAGAGATTTATATGAGGATGGAGGCAGCATCATAATTTGAGGCTGTTTTCTTTTTTCTTTTTTCTTTTTTTTTTTTTTTTTTGAGACGGAGTTTCACTCTTGCTACCCAGGCTGGAGTGCAATGGCGCGATCTTGGCTCACTGCAACCTCTGCCTCCTGGGTTCAGGCAATTCTCCTGCCTCAGCCTCCTGAGCAGCTGGGATAACAGGCAAGCGCCACCGTGCCTGGCTAATTTTTTGTATTTTTAGTAGAGACGGGGTTTCACGATGTTGACCAGGATGGTCTCGATCTCTTTACCTCGCGATCCACCTGCCTCGGCCTCCCAAAGTGCTGGGATTACACGCGTGAGCCACCGCGCCCGGCGAGGCTGTTTTCTTTAGAAAACAATGTCTGCATCGGTTCTTTTTTTCCCCATGATCAACACTGCAGGGTTGCTTGCAATGCAGAGTCTCTCTCCTTCATTCTACCTCCACAACAGACTGCTTTCTACAAATGTGGTATATTTGTCCTTTTTCAACTTCATCTTTCCTATATCCCAAATCTGTGTAACAAATGGGTACAGGAAAGCTCCAGGTTAAGCTTGCTTGCCTGTTCTCATTGTTCTGTACCAGGGCTTGTGGGTCATGGCCAACAGGATGGGGTACTTTCTTTGGAAAAGTACCATCGCCCTTATGTAAGGTCTGCATCCCTAAGCATCCTCCCTCACATTCCTGCTTGACTTTCACTATATTTGGCAGTCCTTCCTCATAGATTGTAGTTCAAGCTATTTGATGTCTCTGGTTTCATTGCAAATTGTCTATTTTTCATTCCCCTTCTGGTTTTGACTTAAGGAAGGATGAGTTTCTAAGAGAAGGGAGAAAATCAATTTTTAATCCATCATTTAAAAACTAACACTTAAATTCTTTTTGACACTTTATTTAATGTTTCCAAATATTTAAAGAAAGGTGTGTGGGTGTGTGGGGGTGTGTTTTGGGGGTGGGCAGAATATTTCAAAATGTTGTGAATATATCAACTTGACCAGATTGGGTAATGGACTTTCAGCATTATTCAGTGTGGATGGCTTTCCTGAAAAATAACAAATTAAATTTACCTCCAGCCCGCAGGAATGGGAATGCAAAGTCAATATTTAGGACTATTTTAGAAAATACTATGATGTGCTAGTCTTTGCACACTTGAATTTTAAACTAAGATTGATTCCTAATACCTGATAAATGTCTTAATCACAGTAGCTGTCATTTCCACAGTCCATTGTAAAGCTCGGGCCTCCACACACCATATGGCCTCCACTCCCTCTCCTAGGCCACAGATGGGGTTCAGACTCATTTCATAGGCTATCCAGCAATCCAACACATGACCTAATACAAAAAGGTGATCTGGCAAACCAGAACCCCTCATGAATTTGAATCTTTAAACAAAGGGAGAATCCAGAAGTTGAAAGTTAAAAGCAAAAGCTTAAAGACTGCCATGAGGTAGAGCCTGGAACTTGAAAGAGAAAACAGAATAAAGGAGATGAATTTTAAACAGAAGTCAGAAGAAATGCAGAGATGCAGAGAGAGTCAGTTAGTTGGTAGAGACAAGAATTATAGAGAGAAACAAATATGGAGAATGGCTGTATTATGTTAACCACAGCACTGTCCTTTGGTTCTTCCTGGATTTCTGTGCCTAGCAGATGCCTTGCTCAACAAATGTATATCCTCAAAGCAAGTGAAGTTACCTCTTCACTTAAGGTAACTTGTCTGAATTTCTGCGTTTGTAATGGATCTTCTACCCTAGTACTCTGTTTAAATTTTTTTCTTAGGATGCTGAGGTAGTTTGCCAAACACTCTTTAATGACACTATTGATCTCTGTCTTTCTTGACTTATTTGATGTTTCCTTTGGTCCTTGTGATATGATACTGTTCTAGTTCTTCTGCCTCTGACCACTTTCTTCTAACCAAGTGAGCCATTAATTCCCATACCTTTATATACAATCTGTAAATAAAGATAACTCCCAAATCTCTGAGCCCACAACTGGGCCCTTGAAAATCAACCTGACTGAAACAGAATTCATATTTCTCCCTAAATCAGTTCCATCTCTTGACTTCCCTATTTGTATTTATTGTACCATCAATCTCCAAGTTTTGACATTTGAGTTATCTTTAGATATTTTATTCAATTATTTCTTCCATATCTAATCTGTTGCAAAGTCTAATTATTAATAATAATTGCCAGCCCTCCTCTGCCTCCAAAATCTCTGGTGTTTTCCATAGCCTACCAAAATAAGTTTTTTAGGTTTTTTTTTAAAGGGCCTCAGAATTTAGAACTCTCTACAGTATGTTGAAAAGTCATATTTTTAGTCTTATTTCCCATGGTTTTATTGTATGAGGAAAATTTTTAATTCACCATTCTTTATATATTAATAATTTATTAAAGATTACATTAACCAAAAGACAACAAAAGCTTTAAAAAAAGATGACTGCCGGGCGCGGTGGCTCAAGCCTGTAATCCCAGCACTTTGGGAGGCCGAGGCGGGTGGATCACGAGGTCAAGAGATTGAGACCATCCTGGTCAACATGGTGAAACCCCGTCTCTACTAAAAATACAAAAAATTAGCTGGGCATAGTGGTGCGTGCCTGTAATCCTAGCTACTCAGGAGGCT